ATTTGGCTAAGCCTTGTCTGTCGTTTTTGTAACTGCTACGATTTGATACGTTTTTTCCAATATGAGATGTTGATCACTTTATTGAGGAAAGTATAGACTATGTCCATACGAAGTCAATCCAAACAGCTACCGGGTACCGGGTCTGATAAATTTACGAGTTAATATCATATGAAACCTCCCACATAAAAATAATGATTAGACCTCGTATGAATGAAAAATTATACCACGCGGTCCATCATAGATTTCAATAGCAATGTATTTGAATTTCAATATAAAAATTATTTTTTATGGTTTTCAGTTTCACCAAATAAGAAACAAGTCAAACTGACTACTTCACTAACAGATAAATTAACAACTTTTCGACAAGAAGCTAACTTAAATCGAGAATATAATTTGACTGTACTATAACTTTGATCCTTATAGACTGTGTAAGGTCGATTTTAAATTGAAAACTGCTACAAATCAAATGCGATATTTTTAAAACGCTTAGTAGAAGAGTTCTGAAACGTGAACTCGTAATCTGTGCTGGAATGAGTCGAAGCCGGCAAAAAAATAAACTCCACCATCTATCCTTGTTTCCAGAAGCGCAAAAGTTCGCAATAACTCAATTTCTAGATATACTGTAGACGTTACTTCTTTTTTTTCCAGGGTTCGTGTACACAGTACTTTGAAAGTACCTACTCAATATTCAAGTCATAATTGAACTATAAAATTTATGAAGATATTTCATATAGAATGGATATTAATGAAACATCAAAACTATAGCAAATAGTCATGAAGAACTATCGTTTGGCAGTTTCATTTATCGCTACTCCAGAGCTGAGGCGTGAATTAGAATACTTCAGAGTACAAAGTATCGACGGTATACCATGTGAGGATAGTCTAAGAAGGTAACTTGTATCTCTCAGACGAAGATTCCATACATACAGTAAAGCAGCTTTGGAATCTGTCGATTCCTAAGCACATTGACGTTTGGATGGGATCTATCCTGCACTAACATGAGGTGATACCTCAAAATATACTCGATTGATTTGAGCAAAAATCTGCTGATATATGAACCGAAAGCATCTGCGAGACTATAACGTCTGTGAGGTAACTTGCATAAATGTCTGTCGAAAATAATGCATTGTCCATTGTGGTATTAGCCGGGGAAGTGGTTATTTTCCGAATGTCATTCGAAATGAAGTGAAATGAAAAGTTTTGTGTGGTCAGGCGAGAGAAGTGATTGCTTATGCACTTGATCTCATGCAACAAGAAGCTGCATTCGTTGACAAAAATGATTTAAAGGTATCTTATGAGTCTCTGAGGAAAGTGGTGAAAGAAATAGGGTTCAGATAGAGGAAAAAAAAAATAGAAAACTGCTCATGGAAAAACCGGCGACTCAGCAGTTGCGAAGAAATTTTCTCAGAGACATGAAGAATACCGTGAAGAAGGTCGAACAATAATTTATATGGATGAAACATATATCCATAATTTACGTGCACATGTCCCATACCACAATTTTCAGTATGAAGAGTGCTTAAACATGTTCTAGAGGAAAGATGAGATGAGAGAATGGTTAAGACGACGAAACATTCATTCCACGGATGATATGGTGAACATTGATCTCTATTCCACTATTAAAATCCATAAACCACGATAGTACTATGGAAAATCATGGGCATACTGATGTACTCAAATGGCCTCCTTATCATCCAGATTTGATCCCAATAGAATCAGTATGGGTATCACTGAAACAATATGTGGCTGCTGAAAATGTGTACTTCAATTTCAAATCCGTTGAAAATTTGTGTGGCGAATTCTTCACTTCGCGTGTTTCACTAACCAAGTTGACGTCTTCAGGAGATGGAAAAAATAGTTTGCTTCCACTCTAAGCTCACTTTGCCAATTTGGAAGTCTTTGAAGAAAAGTATCTGGAGTAATGGAAATGTCAAGTAATTTTCATTCAACATTGGACTACATTTTAAAACTCAAACTAAAATAAAAGAAACCTCTGAAAAACATCAAAAGTCTCAGTTGTGTAGGAAAGCAAAGTGGAAAAGGGATTTTATAAAAAAAAATGAATATCAAAGATCACACATATTTATTTCCTTGAATATTCGAATTTGGTATCAAAGTCTGACTTTTTCTAAGTTGATGTATTTACTGTTTTATCAGTGTGGGTCTGAAGATGTATTTCTAATTTTTCTTTGTAATGGAATTTTTTGAAGCAAATTTGACACACAAAATTCTTTTCTTTTCCACACTCAACCCTTTCGTGCCTCCTTAAATTAGATTTTCTGGAATAAGATCTATTACAACTGATACATAGATATCTTGTTGTTCCTGGAATATAGAAAGTTGATGAAATGAGATGAAAAGAGTTTGAATGAATATAAAGAAAATCGACGAAAGTTATTTTTGTGGAGGAAATCAAAGTTTTTCATCAAGTTTCTTTGGATATTTTCACCTGCCACAAACTGAAAAATATGAAAATTGTACTGGAGAACTTATACACGTGTAGAAAGTGCAAACTTTTCACATCATCCCGCGTGGATTCAATAAATTTTCCTATGAAAAAAAACTAAAAAACTATACAGATACTCATCTAAAATCTGCGTTCGTCGTCAGAACTGAGAAATTTTTAGTATTTTAGCTGTTTCTTCTTAACCGATTCTCTTTATTTCTAAACTTTTTTAGATTGTAGCTACCGAAAAATTGAGGTGAGTATCTTTTATTTATTCATTTATTTATTTATTTATTCATCCCCATTACAAATTAAACGCCTTATAAAGGTTGACATCGAAGGGTAACATCCTTGAAACTCGATACACGAGTAGTCAGAAAAGTAATCCCGTATTGGAACCGACAAAGGGAAGACAAAAATATATCAGCTTTAATACCATATGTATCTATAGTCCGCTTCGCATACCATTTATATCAAATCGAAGATGGATGCATTCTGATACGTTACATGATTGGCACTGTGAATAGCCATGATGTTAGGTAACATAACCTAACTAAAACACAAAGCTTATGATTAGAGCTATCAAAGGCGCATCTAGAATGGTGATGAAATGTAGTTGGCTCAATTGTTATTTTAAGTTATATATTGTTATGTTCTGTAATGGATATGATAAACTCAAAACACAGAATACATTAAATAATAACTCAGTGATGGTTAAATAAACCCAGGATTGAGACTTACCCCTTTCTCGTTTTTTGCTGTTGGATCCAACTGCTTCAGGGAAACTATTATGGCAAAGTAGGGATGGATCAAGGAGTTTTAGGAGAAGCAGTGTTGAAGAAAACTTATTTCAACAAAAGAACAATGCACACATTAGTCTATACTATACAATAGAATCACCAGCGCGTATCTTATTTCTTTTCCGATCCAGTCGTTCCGAATATTTCTAATTTCAAAACTAAAAAAACTCAACTTCTTGGGCCGTTCCCAATGATTTTGATAGATCGTACAATTTCTGCAAAATAGAGAAGAGAGACTCTTTTTTCGCTGTTAACATTTTAAATTTCCTATCTGCTACCGTACCCATTTTGACTTTAATAATTTCCAATGGAAACTTGATGTCCGATTGCAAATTTCACCTTCCGAAATTCAGATCATACCAAACCGTTCAATATTTTTATTTGACCGTAATTCAAATATACCCGATATACTGAACAATATGACAACACCGCTAAAGGCCTGACTACTTCCGTTTTTTACACTGCTAACCGATTCGAGAAAAGAAAAAACAATCCAAGTTTTTATAACCACCAATCCGACTCGAATAGGACCAAATGATCTAACTTAGCTAAAGCCTGATACAACAACATGAAGTCTGCCAAATCTGGTAAATTCAATTTTTTCAATGCCGAGACCGCTACGTCAAATCTTTCTAGAAATACATCCAAATTTCTTGCCGATTCACTTTGCAACGGCTTGAAATCAAAAATTTGTTGTAAATAACTGTCTGCTAACATCCGTTTATTTTCATACTTTTCGGTCAGAGCCTTGTACAAAATATTATAATTATCGCCGGTGATAGAAAATCCCGCACAAATTCCCGAGGCCGGTCCTCGTAAACTTCCCACTAAATAATGAATTTTGTTTAAATCTGTCAAAGATGCATTATCGTCAATCATACTCTTGAAGAGCGAATGAAATGTTTCCCACTGCCGTATTTCTCCCGAAAATTCAGGTAATTCAATTTTCGGCAACGGAGGTAATCTATTATCTACTATAATATTGCCGCTATTACTATTAGATTGCCTAAATTGATCAGGTCTTTGAATTCCTTTTTCAGCCATATGAATGTGACAACACAATTGATTAATAGTTGAAAGAAGCTTATAATCTGGTACAAATTCATCATCTATTTCAAACTGCACTTCATTGATCTGATCTAATACCAAATTCAAAGCTTCTCTAGTAGTATCTAGAGTCAAATATGATATTTTAAAATTATATATTGTTATATATTCAGTGTATTCAATTATTGGTCAACCCACGGGGAAAACGTAACAATATATTTATATGTTTTTGTACCTTTAAAAATATGGTAACTTCAACTGGCAAAGAACAAAAACACAACTGTAACTGTGTAACTTACAGTTGTGTTTTTCTTCTTTGCTAGTTGTTGTTCTGTAAGAAAAATAATAATTTATGACAATGGATGTATTCCTTCACTCACAATTCAAGATACTTCAGAAACTTTGTTGAATTCGTCACTTTTTTAAACAAATTTGTGTAAATTTCAAGGATTTATATGTATAGTTATTCATTTCGTGCTTCGTGCTCTTTTGTATTCAGAATAAAAAAATATATTTATGTCTTTTCAAGATACTCCTTGAATTCAAAGAAAGTTAAGTATATAGTAGGATTTGTTTCACAATTTGTGTTAGGACGAAAGACGGTAACTTCATACCGTTTCAATTTGGGGAATAAATGTTAATTTTTTTTTTTTAGCGAAAGCGAGATATTTTTGTATATTGTCGGGAAACAGCAATAAAACAATCGCTGTATGGAACAATTTATTTAGTATAATGTTTATAGCCCATATGCCTTGTTAAACTGCTTTTTGATTTTGATTTAAAGGGACAAATATCACAAAAAAACGATGGTTCCTTCTGACACTCATAACGGACATGCTGTAATAAGCCTCTTCTATGTTTATATGTGCGACCGCAAGCATGACATTTGTATACATTTCCTGAAAAAAAAAACAGTTTCAACATTGTTAAGGTCTTAATAAATCTTGATTGATTGGTTTATACATTCAAGAAGTAATTCAACCAACATAATGAATTATTGAAAACTATTGGATTTTTTGTAGGTAATTTCAGAAAAGTTTGAATAAAAATTCCAGCTGAATAATGATTTAAAAAAATAAAAAATCAAACATATAAAATATGTATTTTTTCAATGTACCAAGCAATACAACAACTCAGGTTTCAGGATTCTACTTTTGAACATTTTGAAAATAACGCCATTTTGCTATTTGTATTGGCCCTCCTCAGAAGTGGGTGATTAGTTGCTTCTTGAATGTAGAACGAAGATGAGAAATTCGCTGTGGATCCAAACCTTATTTATTTTCCTTCTTGATAATTACTGGTTGAATATGGAACAATGTCTTTGATAAAACTCCAAAAAATTGATTAGGGAACTGGTAAACGAGATGGCACCGAGTGGGGACTTTTAACGAATACCAATATTCTCTAAAACGTTGTTGAAAACAACAAGTTTTGCCTCTCTTGCTGCATTTGATGTTCTCTTGACTGTCAAATCTAATATATCAGAATGATGAGTAACATTTCTCAGTCAATAAGATTTATATCAATGATTCGATCGTGAACTTTGAAGTTGAACTGTATATGCATTAAAATTAAAAATTAAAATTAAAATGTTTTGTACAGATCACAATTCTGATTTTCAAAGGATTCTCTAGATGTAGAATATTCTTTTCCTAGCAGTCTGAGGTCACCTAAGCTAAGCTGGTACTGTGCCCCTCAGGCTGCTGAATTTTATCTGAACATGAAAGATATAGGTATATACCAATGTACTAATGCTACTTAATTAAAAAAGTAACATAAGTTAGAAAACAGTTCGAGAAGAGACATAACATATATAGGTAGAGTATACACTGATGAAGGTTTCCCATTCAATCGTTCTCGAAGATATTTTTCAGTTGAGTATAATGGTTTTCAATACATAGTTTCATAGTTTCAACGATAAGATATAGAGTGTCGGTTAAAGTATGGTAAAGTTGCTTATTTTAGATACCTATTCCATGATGTGAAGAAATCGAATATAGCTCTTTTGGTTCTCGAGATATACAGGAAAAACCAAAAAATACCAAATTATTTTTTTGCCTATATCTTCTTTATTCGCAGACATATTGAAAATTTGTCCACATTTTGCTGCTGGTACTTGATGTGTGCTCTTAGAATATATCCATGAATCTTTTATACAGGGTGTCATCTGATTTGGGCCACCCCCCTCATTGAATTTTCAAATACGGACCTGTATTTTTAGTTGTAGTTTTTGGATCGTAGACGTTCACTTCATACTGAGAAATTAAATTCAATTCAATATTTCTGGATGTTTCGGTAATATTCAATTATAATTGTGTGAATTATTCCTTTTTGAATTACGGCCCTGGAAATTGGTTGACTGAGTTGAATAAAAACTTTCCCGTGTCCCTATGTACCGTAGAGTTTTTAAAAATTTTTTTTTCATTTTTAGGTACCTATTCATATTTTTCCATTGCTTTGAGCGTTTTCTACAATGAACTTCGAATAAGAAAACCTTTTATGATTATTTAAAACATATCTACAACAAAAATATATTATATGTGTGTTGAAGAGCAGAAATTAGTAATAATAACATCCGAAACGAACACTGTAATAACAATTAGGTACCTATTCATATTTTTCCATTGCTCTGAGCGTTTTCTACAATGAACTTCGAATAAGAAAACCTTTTATGATTATTTAAAACATATCTACAACAAAAATATATTATATGTGTTTTGATGAGCAGAAAAAAAATGGTAGCAATAATAACATGGTAGCAGTAATAACATTACTACACCAAAGGCTCCAAACAATGCATCACAAGTTAAAAATGGATGCCTCAAATGAACCACAGCAGGCGAATACTCACACATTTTTCAGGACAAATGCTGGATTTCAAGCAAAGTTGTATGGTTCACATCATAACAAAGATACCCCGCTGTTCGTTTTGCTTATTGATATGGTCGAAGATTTTCCTGTGGGTGATTATAATACTTTTGGATATATTTCATCTGTTGGTGAATACTGGCTGAAGATGGTAGATGCTGGTCCCACTCGCCATCGCCCGGTGAGATATCATCACAACGGCTTAGGCAGCGTGAAGTTGCTTTATGGCTGTGCCACTGTTTCACGTTTCAAGGGTGTGAATATAGAGAAAAATGCATGATGGCCCTCGCGGGGTCAAAATACCCCGGAAGTAAAATAGCTCCCCAATCGGATATCCGGGTGGGGGCTGTTTTAAGGGCATCATCTTGCAGTCTTTCGGAAACCACTATTTCTGACAGTTAGCAGGGTCTCCCTAACATCAGTCCGTAGGAATAAAGGATGGTTATGCACTTGCTAAGAGGCCCATTAGCAACTTCAAAATCGATATCTACAACATAAGAGGACTTATGTCAAATATAAACTCACTGCACCAACATCTGCAATCAAATAGTCCTCATATTCTTGCAGTCACAGAAAAGTTAATGTTCAACTAACCCCTTCAATTTTCTATATTCCGGCTATGATTTCCACTCCCGATTCAGACGTAACTTTGGAATATCTCTTCTTATCAGAAGCAATCTCTTCTGTCAACAAGAGAAAGTCTGGATTCCCGAAACTTTGATGTTATGTGGTTCAATATAATATTACGGAAGATCATCAAATTCATATGTTGCATTTATCAACCACCTAGCGATACACAATATAGGTAACTATTCTCTTTACTTGCAAACACCATTGATTTTCTGCAAATCACTTGCAACTGCACTTGCAACTTGCACTTGATAGTCTGGAACATCGAAGAAAGGTTGGATATTTGTCTCTCTTCTATAGATACTTTCACGAGAATTGTTCAAGTGACCTGGGCGGTTTAAGAACTGTTTCATTTGGAGAACGGCGTTTATATGAAATGAACTCCTTGAGAACGGTTTTCCAGATGGATTTGCTCTCCAGCAATCCAAATCCAATGTGAATCACTACTTTTGCACAGGCACCTCTGTAAGAGCGCCTTAAGGATATTATATTACTAGCAATGTCCATAATTATAATTAATGGGTATCCCTTTGAAAACTGACTTTACCAAATTGAAAACCTATTGAGAAATGATATATTATCACTAGCACAAGTTGCAAAAAGAATAAGTAAAATTATGCAATGCTAAAACGAATATCCAAAAAATATAAACTGCATTGGTTTTTCTGTGTTAACAAAAATGACACCGGAATTTTCTTCGAAATAAAGTTTCGAGCATTTTCACTATCTGCAGAAAATGATAATGAATGGTTTCTCACTAACAATGGCGATGTTAAATCAATGGAGTCTCCTTTTATTAGCGGAACTGCAGTTCCGCTAATAAATGTTTAGGGTTCATTCTATTATTCGAAACCTATTAAAATTATGTTCAGTCAAGGAAGTTAGGGGCAGAGTTGTAGCAATAGAATATAAAGCTGAAAGATTTTTTATTCCTCTATTACATACTCTTCAATAAACATAAATAAAAAATAAATATTCTCATTTTGTATAACGGATTGAATGCTCAGTTTGAAATTGAAAACCAATTCTTTCAAAATAAAAATGAACTAACCAAAACATGAAATGTATGAAGTATTCATATTTTGTATAACAAACTGAATGCTCAGTTCAAAATTAAAAACCAACTCTCTTGAAATTAAAATGAACTAACCAAAACATGAGATGTATTATTATTTTATTTCCACTACTCCTTCACTACTATGTATTATTACTTTTCTTCCACCACTCTTTCACTACTAGTCTTTGGCAGAAAATCCAGATTATCGGACATATTCTGAAATGAAAAAAAAACATAAATAAATATAGTTGAAGCGACTGGTTTGAATTTGACGATAGTCGTGTCATTAAATATTCTGGCAATATCTTGAATTTATTGAAAACTCTGGAGATATCCTATATTTTAGTCCATAAAAGGGAGGACATTGGCAGAACAAGATCTTCAGATGATGTGGTGCTGCAGGTTTTTCCGGGTTTTCCAGCAGCTGAGAAGGAAGGCAAATGCACCACTGGTATTAATTAAGACGCCCCGGAGCACCAATTAATGTTTGTTGTTGATTCATGAGTTGTATTACTTTATTTTTTTAACACGCTTTTATCAGCTTCACCTTTATGTATGTTTGTTTCTTTGTAACTCTCAACCTCGGGATCTGTATTTATCAGAATTATCGACATTATTGCTTGATCTATTCGCGGGCAGATGGCTTTGTACGTAACCTCTTTGATATAATTCAAACTCACTTCACATGTATTTCTTCGTTTAAAAAAAGGAATTTTGTTATTAAACCGCGCGCCTGCTACCTCATTTGTAACCCTGCTTTGTGCGCCTGCTGCCTTCCTTGGGCTTCTTTCTAAGGAAGAATAGCATAAAGCATAGCATAGCCCACTGACTAGTAAGAAACTTTCTCTTCCTTATTCAGAGGAATCGGGCAAATTACAGATATGCAGTTGGTTAGTACCTCGTCCACTAGATGGAGTCACATTTTGTTGTTCGCTCCAACTTAGGAAGAGGAATGAAATACTCTGAAAGAATTCAATTATGGAATATCATTGACTTGAGGTCGATGATGGCCACTATCTTGCACTGACGAGTGGCTAATGAGCTCGAAACCGGTCTGCAAGTGTGCCCGTTCCAAAATTGAAGGTCGACTCTTTCAGTTGTATTGACAATTGCATATGCAGGAAATTTTCTGTGAAGATTCCTGCACTGACGCCTGTCGGATATAATCCAACTCCCTTCGTGGTATTAGCCAAGGAAGTAGTAGTCCATTCAACCTACTGTGTAAATATATCCGAAACTGGCTTGAACGTTTAAAGTTCATTTCTTTAGATTCATTAGTTATTTATTCATCCATTTATATCATTTGTACCTGTATTGTCGTTATTTTCAATCATGAATAGATGACATTATTATTATAATTTAATTAACTTACGATATTTCTGCCTACATTTCCTTCCTTATGACTGTCTGCAATCTCTGTTTTACCCACAGGATCATTACTAAAATCTTTAGTTTCCTTTGTTTCTTTCTGAGCCTAAAAAAACCTCAGTTAGAATAAAGAAATGAAAACCACTTCAATCACTTACTTTATATGTGAGACTAGTAGGTCTTCGTTTAGTTCTTGAACTCCTAGCTAAACTACTCTCGCTTCGTTTTGTTGAATTTCTAATCACAGCTTTGAAAAAATCTTCACAATTTTTCAAGGTAAAATCATCATCAGATAGATTTACCACTCTGAAGAATAAGCCAATAATATTTTTGAATATTTTAAACGGAATTTTTTCTTTGCCATCTCTGGCACCTCCAGCCCAAGAACAAAACGTCATAAATTTTCGAGAAAAAATTTTGTCGACCAATATGTAGCAATTGGTTATGCCGTTTCCAGATCCTTTCCTTCCACACACATAACTGAACTTTTGTACATACTCTTCCATACAAGTTTTATTTGTGAGTTTCATTTCAAGTTTCTCTAAATCAGCTAAAGTGTCGATCGGATCAAAGAAAAAATCATCTTTATTTGTTGATGAAGCATCTCCATTTGCATTTTTGCATGAACAGGAAGTACTATTATTTGAGCTATTAGCCACACTATTTAAAATAACCTCCAATTTAGCAAGTTTTTGAAGAATTTTCAATTGCGTTTCTCGTTCAGCTGAGTGTCTTAAATTATATATAATATCTTGCTGATTTTCAATTACAATATCTTGATTTTGAAGCATTTTGTCAATTTTATTATTCACTTGGAGATCTAGTGAGGATGTAGATGGAACATTGACTTCGGTGACAATATGCGGAAATTCCTCCGAGACCTTAGCCACAGGACGCAGTAAGGAAGCCTCCTGAAATAAAAATTAAAGTTTTGAACTACATATTTGGCCCCATTCGTACATATACAGGGTGGCCAACCACATTCGCCTCGGTATTTCTATAAGAAATGCAGAAAGTTAGGAAAAAACTTTCAGCACATTTATATGTGGATCCATGAGGAACATATTCCAAAATTATTTTGAAATATACAGGGTGACTGCCAAAAAAGTTACATACCGAAGTTATATTTTTTCATATTTTTAGATACTATAGGCAAAATAAAGGTGAGTTATTATTTTATTTGCCATACTTAAAACTGACCGTTTCTGATAATTTTCGAGAAATTTGAAAATACAGACCATAATTTGAAAATTGTTTTAACCCTGTAACGTGCAACGAGCTGCTCGTGATTAAATGTACTGCTTAGCTCAACGGTTGAAGTTAACTACCACATGACATTTTTAATGCAATATTATTCTAAGTGGCGAATGAAATTGCTTCAAAATTTGGACACACATAACTTCTTAAAGTTGAATTGAACACCCGTGGCGTGATTTGACGCAGATTTCCTTCAAAACTATATTAGGGTTCCCTATACCTATCTCTTCTGGTTTTTACACAAAAAGCTTTTTTATATTTCACTCTAAGTAATCTTTTCATCTTAAAAATGGAACACCCTGTATTGTTATGAAAAGCAAAAAACATTCTTGAAGTATTTTATCGAAAAATTAAGAATCTGAAATAGTTTATAATTTCAATCAATGCTCAAAATGGTGTCCATTTTTCTCGATGCATAGGCGAACTCTTTCTTGAAATGATTTCTGAACTCTGGATAACATATCATGTGATATGAAACGAAACGCTCTTCTTATTCGTACTTTCATATCCTGAGGTGTCGTTGGAGGTGTATCGTTAACAATACTTTTGATATATCCCCATAAAAAATAGTCGGGACCATCGCCATCTAGCTGCATCCACATCCGTTGACGAATATTAAGAGCAGCATAGGCAAATTATCCCTAATAAATCCGAGAAACATGACGCCGTTTAATGACCATCAAAAAAGTAAGAACCTAATACTTGCGTTCCAATTATTCCACCCCACACATTAACAAACCATTTGTGGTGGTGATCAAGGGTTCTAAAAATATTAGGATTATCGTCACTGTAGTAGTGAAAGTTATGTTTGTTAACTAATCCGTTGTTATGGAAAGTTGACTCATCGGAAAAAAGCACATAATCTAAAAAACTTCCTTCATCAGTCGTCGATCATAATCTTCTTCAAAAAGCTGTTGATGTAGTTGAATGCGATAAGGGTGGAATTTGTAATTTTCAATTATTCTTTGGATACTCTGTCTGCTTATTTCAGTTGTTTCACATATTTTTCGTTTACTTGTGTGAGGGTGTTCAATTGGAGATAACATCACTAAATATTAATATTTCTCATTTCCAGTAACCGGTTTGTGCCGTTCTTGCATATTATAAGATACACTGACTGTTCTCGGAAAAGCTGCACAACTTTTCCAATGAACGCTTGTTAGGATGACTCCTATTAGGATACCTTTGGGCATATACTATTGACGCTAATAAACAGTTTTTTTCTACACCCGTACTCTAACAATACACTTATATGACCATAATCCGTTTCATAATGATATCCATTATGATACAGATTTTTCATAACGATACAGATTATCAACCAATAGAAACCCATAATTTTTCTATCAAGAATCCTGTTCCTTTGTTTGTCCTAGATTCTAACCTAAGTAACTAATTGCTTTATTTGTCAACATCAGTTTTAATATTACCTACCTATATTATCAAAATGTCTGAAAACAGCGATATAGAAGGAATACCATCGACTCCAATATTTTTAAAAGATCAGATTAATTACAGTTGTTATATTCAATATAAATATAATCAGAATCTTTATAGTTTTCATATATCCATGATAATACCATTAAGTTTGTGTTTTCTGAAAAAAATATGAGTTAATTACTGTAAATGTGTTCACTACAAATATTATATTTATAGTTTTTCATTATTTATCGGGTTTAGAAAAAAATAGCGTATGCAACTCTCATGTAATGGTTATTAATACACTCGCATATACCATACAAAACTCGCCTTCGGCTCGTTTCGTATCCCGGTTAATGTTCGTGTCTTAATAACCATCATTACATGATCGTTGCATAATATACTATTTTCACACTCACCGATTATCAAAATCATATCAATTCGTTCTTCCTGGGAATGAGTTCTCATTTCAAACTAATCAAAACATTGTTAATGGTTTGATTAACAAGTTGTGTCACTGTCAAATACTTTTTATTTTATAATAATAATTAACGTCATCTAGGCCAGAGCCTACTATTATTGAAAAAATGGTAGAATAGGTTTTATGGGCAATCGGAATGTATGTTTTTATTGACCCCATATTGTAATTTTGGTATTAATTTCACTATGAAATCTAATATATTTGCTAAGAATAAAGCGAATTTAACATATTTTGCCTCAATAATTAAGACACATGCATCTTCTTATTTTGAAGAATGCTTTTTAATATTTCAGAAATGGCAATAAATCTTAGTTTTTAGGTTTGCCTGCATTTTACTTTAGATACACCTTATTTCAAATAATTTAAACTTGTGCTTCTAGCGAATCTACGGATTCTACAATAAAAAGGTGTTTAAAACGCTTTTTAGACATTTCATTGAAATACAGCGTGTTTCATTTTAAAGATAAAAAAATTACTCATAAGTAAAATACAAAACCGCTTTTTATGTAAAAAGCAGAAGAGATAGGTATAGGAAAGCCTAATATAGTTTTGAAGGGAATCTAGTCCTGCGTCAAATCACGCCACTAAATACGGGGTGTTTCATTCAACTTTAAGAAGTTATTTAATTAAATGTTTGTCCAAATTTTGCGGCAAATTTTTTCGCCACTTGGAATAATACTGCACTAAACATTTCATTTGGTGAAAACAAATTTTAACTCACCTTCATTTTGTCTATAGTATCTAAAAATATAAAAAAATATAGGGTGTTCCACAAAAAAAAATATAACTTTGGTATGTAACTTTTTTGAAAGTCACCCTGTATATTTCGAAATAATTTTGGAATATGCTCCTCATGGAACTAATTTCACCGACGTTTCGACAAAATCTCATTTGTCATTATCTAGGTATGCTGTTACGTATTCAGAAGTTTGTTGACCCTGCTCAACTCACTTCTTACTATACTGGTAAAATGGTATTGTTGAGTTTTACCTGAGTTCTTCTTCTTCTTCTTAGTTGACCTCATCTCCCCGTTAAGGTATCGAATATGAAATCTAAAGTTTTCACGGATAGGAATATGCTGAACTGGTTTTTACGGGTATTTGATCCGTGTGGTATTATCCGTGTAATATTATCTCTAATTTCACCGACGTTTCGACAACATCTCATTTGTCATTATCTAGGTGTGCTGTTACGTGTTCAGAAGTTTGTTGACCCTGCTCAACTCACTTCTTACTAGACTTACTAAACTTACTATACTTACCTTACTATACTTACCAGTATAGTAAGAAGTGAGTTGAGCAGGATCAACAAATTTCTGAACACGTAACAGCACACCTAGATAATGACAAATGAGATTTTGTCGAAACGTCGGTGAAATTAGAGATAATTTGTGATACACGTATCACATACACGGATCAAATACCCGGAAAAACCAGTTCAGCATATTCCTATCCGTGAAAACTTCAGATTTCATATCCCCTTAACGGGGATATGAGGTCAACTAAGAAGAAGAAGAACTCAGGTAAAACTCAACAACATTTAAGTAGTAGGTAGTAGTTTATGGACACTCTATCTCTGAACACGTAACGAATACCATTTTACCAGTATAGTAAGAAGTGAAATTAGACGGTGAAATTAGAGATAATATCACATTAAGTGGGACCACCTATTGGTGTGACATGCAAGCTAACTTGCCAAGTTTCTATGATAGTTTTGGTGGTTTGACCAATCAACCGACAACTGCGGTGGCAGAAATTTGGGAAGCTAACCTGGAATGTCATCGAAAAATGAATAAACGTATCTAGAAATGATATGAAATCGAGAAAGGTAATGCAGTCAAATTGCATGTGGATTCGTTTTCCGATGACATTTATATGGGAAGGATCTAAATATTTCATTCTTATTAGGTATACCCCATAAGTGAATTTGAAATTTTCAAGGCATTGACATGTAGAATTTGGAAGAATATAAAATACAAAGGGTGTGCACTTTCTAGTCCTGATTTTTAGTTATCTACTTAGATAATATAATTTTTCCTTCAACAGAAAACTTGAATATTTTGTTCTTAGTGAATCAGTTTATGTTTTCTGTTAGACTTGTTCGAATAAAAATAAACTTACCAAACATTCTTGTGGTGAAGTATTTAAATCATTTTGGCTAGGTTTCGCCCTTCGAAGTATCAGCCTGCGTTGCTTTTTTGGTTGTATAGAATTGATAACCTCTTCTTGTTCTGCGTCCATTTCCAGCATTCGTTTTAGTTCTTCTTCAGCAATTTCGTAGGTCATCAAATGGCTTCGTTTGAGTTGACACGCTATAGTAAACCAACTGGCTTCGGGCATAGAATAGGGATTTCGTATCAGCTCATCAGCACCAGTTATTGGCCATGAGAGCTGGTTATTATGTATCCATGACGACGGAACTATGGTGAGCTGTTTTTGACCTTCTTCAACGGTCTGCACTATTTTAAACGTACCTGAAACGTAGATGAAATAAGTGAAATCCAGCTTCAAACACAAAAATAATAACTAAAAATATAGGCCTCAATGATCAAATATCTGGTCATTGAAGCTAATCAAAACCTATATTCTGACAGCAAAATAACTTACTATTTCCTCTCTAACATTCAATTAAATTTTAATTAAAAAAAATATTTTCAGCGGGGTTTACAGGTTATGTCTAATATTCACCATGTATTTGTCATTAGATAACGGAAAAACGAAAAAGGAAATTTGTAGGTAATGAAGGTAAGTGGTTTATATTATAAGAATCGCCAAAATGTCGTACTATATTAGCAAAAATGTTGCCAACTAGCGTATAAACGATCACAATAATTGTGTACCGACAGCGGAGCAGCAGCGGATCAGAAAGGCAAAACAAAATTTACAGGAAAGTATAAGTAGCATTCTGTGAAAAAAAACATTAAAACAACGGGGTGCTCATATGTGTCTAGGAAAAATATTTCATATGAAAATGAGTGGTTAGGGTTGGATGGGAGTTTCATTCTAGCAGTTGTACTTTACAAGGTGGTTTTTATCAATTTGGGAGTATCTAGGTTTCCGATCATTTTGTAGTTTGGGAATATGCGTGTGCGTTCGGATTCGATATTCGATTATAGTTTATCTACCCGCTTTCTATGATTAATTCGTAACCATCCTTAAAATCCTTCTTTCCGAGGTCTACCTATTCTTGCAAAGTCACCCTGACCGACCCCTGGGTGTGAAAAGTAATACCCTAAAACCCCTCCCCTTATTTTCGGAAATTGACTATGCGTCCGACCAAATAAAATCGTGTTTGTAACCATCGGTACTCGGTAATGTAAATACCCATGATGTTGGGATGTTGACTTTCTGACGTTTGATCAATTTCAGTTGCCGGGTTTGAATCCATCTATTAAAAAATATACGGTCGGAAATCTTGATAGTGGATCTAGAATTATTCCGAACGATCGGAAAGGGAGATGCTCCCTTTCAATTATTGTATGCAATAATGAAAGACAGTCGTTCTAAAGAACTAAACTTCTAAAAAAGCGCGATGTTTCCAATTGTATATAAAACCGATAGCAATATACAGGGTGCTCCACCTGAATCAACGGATTTTCATAGTTAATAATTTTTTCCCGTTTTTGTCAAGAAAAAAATTGCGAGCGCTATGTTACGTGGGAGAGCCTCACGGTTTGTTTTGCTGATATTTCAGATATACAGGGTGTAACATAAGTACATTAAAATATTCAAGTGACGTATTTCTGAGAAAAAAAGTCTATTTGAACTTGTGTCCAAAAATGCTTCGTTTTGGAGATACGGGGTGTTGAAACTGAATTTTTTGTTCGGTTTTTGAAAATAACTCTTACAAAAAATAAGTTATTTGCACGAAATTCGGTACCCGGGATTTTTTTGGCGTGTGAAATTATAATTTCGTATTAATTTTCATGTAACAGAGGGCGCTGCGTACGCTGTCATTATTTATTTCAAATTGCCCTAACTTTTTTGACAGTAAAATTTTGGTACTTTTCATGAAAAAACCTAATTCCCACACCTTTTCCAAGTTAAACAACGTTGGAGGCGATCGTTTTCGAGATATTTACAATTTTCTATATCGATGTATATTACTTTATAGCCAAATTTGATTTCAATAATTTTTGTCACTCTTCGCTTGCAAATTAAGTTAATTAAATCGAGCAGGCTATGAAAGTTTGTTTATAAAAATAGAAGTTCGCTGTCACATTTTTACCTATTAATTGACTAATTCACAGTTCGGAGTTTATAAAGTGATTTTTAGTACCATGCCTGACTTTACGAATGCTGAAATGGCTGATTTGGTTTTTGCATAAGACTTGGCTGACGAAAATTCAAGCGAGGCCGGACGCATCTATCAGGAAAGGTATCCCCAAAGCGTGACTCCTTGTGCAGCGACATTTGCGAATCTTTTCCGGCGACTTTCCGAATCTGGAAGCTTTGAAACAAATTCTACAGTAGGACGGCCACGGACTACAAGAACTGTAGAATTGGAGGAGGCGGTTCTCGAAGAAATTAGTGAACATCCAGAGACAAGTAAAAGAAAAAGTATTCAAACTTCAAATGTGAGTCACATGACAGTTTACAGAATTTTGAAGGAACAGCAATTATATCCTTATCATATTCAGCGTGTCCAGGCACTTACGCTACGTGATTTCCAACCACGTATCGAATTTGCTCAATGGCTTCAAGGAAAAGTTGAACAACATCCGCAAATTTTATCGAAAATCATCTTCACAGATGAGGCTAATTTTTCAAGAAATGGTATCATGAACTTCCATAACAACCACATCTGGGCGGAAGATAACCCACATGCGATAACGCAAACTCATTTCCAAGACACCTTCTCTTTTAATTTATGGGTAGGCATAATTGGGGATTATTTAATAGGGCCCTATTTTTCCTCTTTACGTTTGAACCTATATTTTTTGGAACACGAGCTTCCCCAACTTATGTAAAGCTGCGTATTCTCCAAAAAAGCGAGCACGAGCGAACAAGAGTGAAGGAGCAATAATCGTCTGGTGAGTACGGGCTAGCGAGCGAGCGAACGTATGCTTGTTCGCATTCAAAAAAGATCGAGAAGAAGGCGGTACATCAAAAGATGCTCGCACAAAGTAGATGGATCCACGACGACTACTAACTTGAAGATATTAGCTCTGGTGTGGACGAGACATCAATATGTCGAGCAAACACGAGCGAACATGAACGAATACGAGCAAACATACACGAATGCTCGCTCATGCTCGCTCGTGCTCGCTTTTTTGGTGAATACGCACCTTAAGATGGGCCTCCAAAATCACTCTTGGTTTATGCACGATGGAGCTCCTGCTCATTTTAGACTGATAGCAAGAAATTTTTTAGACGTAGCATATCCCCAACGATGGATAGGAAAAGGAGGCACTGAGCATTGGCCCCCAAGGTCACCGGACATCAATCCAGTCGATTTTTTTTGGGGACACCTAAAATCACTAGTTTACGCTAGCCCCATTGAAAACGAGGACATGTTGACGGATCGCATCATAGCTTGCTGCGAAACGATAAGAAACACTCCGGGAATTTTTCAACGGGTGCGGAATTCTTTGATGAGAAGAGCAGAAGCTTGTATTACTGTTGGGAGTCGTCACTTTGAACAGTTGTTGTAATAGTTGTTTCGTTCAGTTTTTATTTGTTTATTTTCCTAATAAATAACATAGTACTCCTCCGAATTGTTTTTTTTACAAACTCCGAAAATAACTGAAATTGCAAAAAATGTATGACAAGACCATACCATGTTTAGGAAAATTTCAACAATCTGTATTTCGAAAACGAATCATTCTTCGTTAAACATTTTATAGAAAAAAGTTGTTTATTTTGACGAGATACACCACATACTCAGTTTTTGTACTGTTCTCAGCAACTTCATTTAGCGGCCTAGGAGCTAAGTAATATGCATCGATATAGAAACTTGTAAATATCTCGAAAACGATCACCTCCAGCGTTGTTGAGGAAATGTACCTTTTTTAATTGGAAATGGTGTGGGAATTAGGTTTTATCATGAAAAGTACCAAAAGTTTACTGTTAAAAAAGTTAGGGCAATTTGAAATAAATAATGACAACGTACGCAGCACCCTCTAGATGTTAAATGAAAATTAATACGAAATTATGATTTCCCACGTTGAAGAAACCCCGGGTACCAAATTTCATGCAAATAACTTTTTTTTATAAGAGTTATTTTCAAAAAGCGAACAAAAAATTGAATTTCAACACCCCGTATCTCTGAAACGAAGCATTTTCGGACACACGTTCATATAGACTTTTTTCTTTAAATTGTCTCAGGAATATTTGAATATTTTAACGTACTTATGTTACACCCTGTATAGTGTGACTGAAGAAGTTCCTTCGAAGGTTTTGGATTTTGTTTGGAACACCCAGTAAATTATTTGTTCATTTGACGCGCCATGGACAGACGATCATTTTGATATAGGGTTCCGAGGGTATACAATTATTATTTTATGAAAAATTAATTTTTCTCATTGATTGAGCTCCAACCTTATTCAGTTCGAACACCGATCGAACATGTGTGGGATATTCTTAGTCGCAGACTGCTGAATTTACAAGAGGTAGTGTGGAATGAGATACCCCACAGGATATAGACCACCTTATCAGGACAACGTCCAGGCGTATCCACAAGTGTATACGACCTCAAGGATCTGCAACACATTACTGAAATTCACTGGTTTCACGATCATCCCATTTCTCTGAAAAGTAACTTGTTTGTTTGCTATTATCTGTCAAGTATGTGAGTGAAAAAATTATTGAAATGTTTTCAATACAAATGGGTGTTTACCTTTCTTTGTCACTTAGTATATTTATTGAGTAACTTTCGAGTAGTGTGTGTGCTAATCCTCTCACACCCATGTATGGACTCGCAAATTTTCTAAAATAATTTTTTCCATACAGGAAATAATATTGGAAACCAGAATGGGAACACGTTCAAGAATTATGTTTTACCTTCTATGTGAGGTGAAAGTTACTCTTATGAAAGAGAATAACGGGACGTATCTTGTTGAAGAACTCGTTAATATTTTCCAATGGTACTATTTAGTATTCTTCAACAAGCCTTTCGAAAACCTGGTTTGAAATTGACAGAAATGATTTTCAGAACTTACCTGAACCGTGCAAAACTGTTGTATTGGAACTCTCAGAAAGGAACTACAGTACCTTTTTCATCTATTGTGCCTTCAATCATTATGAGGTATAGTATATACGCTCGCTTCTATTATCTACAGATGTTTGCACATTATGTAATTCCCACTTTAAACGCAAATGAGCAGTGCAAAATACAATAGAATGAGCTATGGGATAGTGATATAACTGAGAGAACAAAATGATGAAAAGTGCTCGCCTGATGATGTTGCTTCCTGCTGGATATCGATCGAATCCTCTTAGAGGTATGGTGGTCCGTTCGTGCATGATCTTGAAGAATTGTGGTGAGTGAAACAGTTGACAAAACATAGTTCTCGTTACGGGAGATATTTCGTAGTATCGTAAATAAGGAAACGACGGAAGTGAAATGAGGAAAGGAAAACAAAAATAAAAAACCAGCATGGTTATGCGAACAATCCTTGGTCATGTTCAAAACATATTGAAAATTTACAAAAAAATGTTCTCGATTTCATCAAGAAAATTGACAGTTTTATTTTGACATTATTGATACAGATTCTTAGGTATTCGACACTTTTCGTGCTTCATATTTTATTAGTACAATTACATAAAAACATATTCAAGAAACATTTCATTGTGAGATTTTCACTAAACAGTTTTACAAAAACGCAAAATGTGTTTCGCTATACAATAGATGCTTCAGGCGCGTCTATACAGTATAGACACGCCTGAAGAAGCTATTGTATAGTGTATTCAAGAAACACTTCATTGTGAGATTTTCACAAAACAGTTTTACAAAATCGCAAAACGTATTTTGCTATACAATAGCATCTATACAGTAAAGAAACGCCTGAAGAAGCTATTGTATAGCGTATTCAGGAAACACTTCATTGTGAGATTTTCACGAAACAGTTTTACAAAAAAGCAAAAAGTGTTTCGCTCTTGCTTTAGGCGTGATGAAAAGAGAAATGAATATTTCTATGTTTTTTACTACTTTTAATTGTAACTAACATTACAATAAACTATACAGTATAAACACGCCTGGGGAAATTATTGTATAGCGTAGTCAAGAAATACTCTATTGGGATATTTTCACTGAACAGTTTTACAAAAACGCAAAACGTGTTTTGCTATACAATAGCTTTTCCAGGTGTGTCTATACAGACACGCCTGAAGGAGCTATTGTACAGCGTATTCAGGAAACACTTTATTGTGAGATTTTCACGAAACAGTTTTACAAAAACGCAAAAAGTGTTTCGCTATTACTTCAGGTATGACTATACAGTATAAACACGCCTGAAGAAACTTGTATAGCGTAGTCAAGAAACACTCTATTGGGATACTTTCACTAAACAGTTTTACGAAAACGTAAAACGTGTTTTGCTATACAATAGCTTTTTCAGGCGTGTCTATACAGTATAGACACGACTGAAGAAGCGTATAGCGTATTCAAGAAACACTTCATTGTGAGATTTTCACTAAACAATTTTACAAAAACGCAAAACGTGTTTCGTTATCCAATAGGTGCTTCAGGGGTGTTTATACTGTATAGACATGCTTTGATTTTCATCAAATATCGGTCGATTCCATTACATATCATATAAAAAGCACGAATTATTCAAATAATTTCCAAAGCATTACAGATATGTGTCACAATTTGTTGATGTGTGCTTTTATTACATCAATCTGTAGTACAATCAGATTTTTTGCAGTCAAGACTGAGTGAATGAACATCTGGTGAACAGGTGACCCCACTTATGTTTTTGACACAACCCCATTCCGTGAGTATTCACTTGTATATAAACATTAATATTTTTCTGTTCAAAAATGAATTCTAGTAGATACTTTGATGCTGATAAATTCATAATAATAATATTGAATAACAAACATTCTGCCTACTGAACAGAAATAAATTTAAAAAATTAATCCGGCCCCGTTTTCATTCTTCTCAGTTTATTCATAAGATTTACAACCCTGGAAAAGGAAGGTTTGTTGGCTTTAGAACCAGAATCGGGGTGTATTTTAAAAAAGTATCTCTGGATGAATTCCATTGTCAGAGAAATATTGGCAGGATACTTCAAATTGAAGTTGAAATATATTGCAAATGCCAGTTGGAAAGCCTCTTCGAATGTTGAGAATCCATTTGGGTTAACAGGAGTTTTTTCGTAGTATACCAGGTATGTATACAATGTATTGCCTGTAACCAAAATAAGTCTGTGATGAAACTCCATTTCAAAGATCCAACAATAATTTAAAAATAAATAATACTAATGAATATTCGTGCAAGAGTGCAGATGCTTTTCGTTCATCGAGCAGTAGGGCCTGAAAGACTGATTCAATATTTGTTTTTGAACACGGAAATGCTTCTTATCTACTTGGGGGTTTTTTCATGAGATAGAGATGCTACTTTTTTTTTGTAGTTGAAAAGACTGCAGCCTCAGAAGAAGGTTTCGTATTAGCAGTCAAGCACTAATACGGAGAAATACTCCGAAACCGGTCGGTAGATGATCACCCGAATGATCTTTGCGTGATCCTGTTGCCGTATAAAAAAAAATTGAACAACTATTGATGCCAATATGTGTGGGATATAACATCGTTCAAATGTTGGAAGTCCCTGTTGGAAGACCCTATTGAGAGTTGAGAGGCGAATTATTCGAATCAATATTCAAAATATTCATTTTATTGACAGATGTGCTGCCTGATTTTATTTTGATAAGAAGTAAAGTTGCAACTGAGTTCAAAATAAATAGATTTTATGGAAAATTGAAAATTTCATGAAACGAATCAATCTAACACTCTTGGTGTATCTGTGAAAGATGCATAAGAAGCTTTTCTTGATATAACATTCAATTAAGATCAGTTGTGATAGCTGATTTTGATGATTTTTTCAATGAATCCAGCAGCCCAATGGTCTTGGTTACGATGCTCCACATGTGGGAGAAAATAGTATAAATATTAAAACTAAATCATACAGTTTATTGTATGATTTGTACTAAGGAGGGTTTTACAAAAACGGCGACACGTTTACGCTTGAGAAAAGTATTGTATAGCGAAACACGTGTCGCGGTTTTAGTAAATCCCTTCATATTAGTGAAAATCATACAATAAACTGTATTAATGAGTTTTAATATGGATTTTCATCAAGTATCGGACAGTTCTATTGAATTAGTATAAATATTGTTTGATTACAACTTGCAAAGGCATCTACAATTTCTAGTTCGATACAGTGTTTTACTGAAAACTTCATGAGATATTTCAGAAAAGAATTATTTGCATCTAGACTTATTCATATCCAATTTGATAATTAAGAAATTAACGTCTTTTTGAGAAAAACTGCCAAATTATGAAATTTCTGGAATTTTTCAAAGCGTCAATGATGTAAACAAATAGCGTTGGAAAGAATTTCAATACCTAGGAAACACCGTCATTGAAGAGATATACAGGGGGTGAAAATTCAATTGCACACTATTGGTTAAATTAGACAAACACGCAGAATGCAGAAGAACAATTTCGACAAATCCAGAATATCGTGAGCCGTTCTCGAAATAACCGAAAAAAATTGAAATCGTTGATTTTGATTTGTGAGCTGTGGTATCTTTATTATACATCATATAAAAAAATATGGAGGGTTTCAACTGAACTTCATGAATTTTAATTGGTGTCAACCTCTTAATTTTTTTTTCAAATACGGGCCTATATTTTCTTAACAAATTATTATGCTTCCCTCAATCCTGCATTTACTGATGCAATGCTCATGAATTATTCTCGACGTTTCACTCCAGAAAAATATCATAACAAAGTTGATTGTATCTGAAATTTAATATCTATTGGGTCTTCCTACAAGAACTTCCGAACTTTGACAATTGATAACGGCCATCTTGTTGAACATATGTCAAATTAGTTGTCATTCATTCAGTCTGGTTTGCCAGATCACCATGGATGGATATGGAATTCAACAACTCGTCCAAATATTAAAATTGTTTTATCTAAATGGGTGTTACATTCAGGCAACGTTCAGCTCGCTTCGCCCATTTTGCGGTCGCCAAAATCGTCCTACCGGACTATTCGCGATGTGATGCATAAATTTGAGTTCATTGGTTCAGTGAACGATCTACCAATACCCGTACGTCAACGAAACGCAAGATCTGCTAAAAACATCGCCGCTATCTGTGAGAGTATGCAAGAGAATCCGAGGCAGTCAATTTCACGTCGCTTACAAGAACTCGGCCTGTAGCAGACCACAGCTTGGCGAATTTTGCGTCGTGACCAAGGAGCTGAAGGTAAACGACCATAAACAACGACGTGTGTTCGCTGAATGGGCAGTTGGCAACTGACCCTAATTTTCATCGAAAAATCATCTTCAGCGATGAGGCCCATTTCTGGATGAATGTGTACGTGAACTAACAAAATTGTCGAATCTGGGACGATATCAACCCACTTGAGACCCAAAAGCGTCCAATACATCCCGAAAGTCACTGTTTGATGTGGATTTTACGCTGGCGGTATCATTGGTCCATATTTATTTGAGAACAACATTGAACAGGTCATCACTGTCAAAGGCGAGCATTATAGGTCGATGATAACTCCTTTTGAACCGAATTGGATGAATGGATATCAACGACATGTGGTTTCAACAGGACGACGCCACCGAGATCATGCGATTTGACCCCGTTAGACTTTTTCTTGTAGGGTTTTCTTAAGTTGTAGGTGTATGCGAATGAGTCACAAACCAAAGCAGTTCTCGAAGCCACCATAATCCATGCCATCGGTTGAATTTAAAGATAGAAAGCGCTCAATGAAAGACCATATAGGTGAGAACTTGATTTGTTATTATGAAGTGTAAAATGGAACTTAAAGCCTGTAATGAATATTCAACAACAAATTGTACTTGAAAAATATCTAAAGTTCATTAATCAACTCTGAAGTTTCGAGATCAAGTTACCCGCTTCTCTCATTTCTATTCAGTCTGTTGTATCCTCGATTGTACCTGAAATATTGAAAATGAATACTGAAGTCATATTATTGTAATATAACTTCACAAATTGCATGGACATACTTTGAGACTGCTTGTGAATCAAATCATCTAAAAGAACAATTCGTTCAGGCCAGTCTCGAATTACCTACACTGTATGTTAATAGACTGACACATATCAGAAAACAACTACTCACCAGGCTATTAACACGAAGGGCGTTGGATTATATCCGTGGTGTATTCAGCCAAGTGGGTAATAATTTATTGTGAGATTTTCACTGGACAATTTACAGAACCGCAACACGTGTTTCGCTAAACAATAGCTTCTCTGAGTGTTTTCATACTGGGGGAGCTATTGTTAGCGAAACACGTTTTGAGATTTTCAAACTGCCCAGTGAAAATCTCGGAATGAAATGTTTCTTGTGTGAGTTATGGATGCTTCGTAACTTCTACCGTTACCGAGATAGCAATAATATGCAATTGAATTTTCGCCACCCGGTATGAGAGGAAAGGAGGGTGACTTGTGAGCAAGATTCATGAGAAAGCAGGAAGTTTATCAACCTGTTGTCAGTATTTCTCTATTGTATCTCTATTTATCGTTCTAGGTGATAAAACATTCCACACGTTTGAGGAACTCATTAATGTAGGTAATTTATGGAAAACATAGTAAAGCAGTGATAGTAATGCGCAAAATATGTATCAAAATAACTCACCGGTTCTTATAATTTGAGGATGTGATTCTATTTCAGTAGGAACCAAAATATTCTGAAAAATATAAAAAACTATTGAGTGTCTTTCTTGTTTCAGAAGATCAAACTTACATTTGGTTCTGCGTAAATCAGATTCAAATCTTCTTTGAAATATCTGGCGACAATCTCTATGATAGTCAACAATTTTGATTCTTTATGTATCACATTTTCGAATCCATTCAACTTGAGAAACTTATCGAATTTCATTGCTACTGCTGGTTCCAAATTGGCCATGTCAGAATTCGTGAGCTTATAAAAATGAAATGTCGCACCAACTCTGGTAAGCAAGACAGGACATTCTTTTTTTATTGCTGCTAATGAAGGGTTTTTATTTAAAAATCTCCTCTGCTCTGGAAAACATTTTTGTAGTTTTTCCTCCAAGTGTTCATCATTTTCAGTTATTTGACTCATATATGACCCCGTCGGCTCATTTACTGGAGGATCCCAGTTGGTGCAACCTGCTCTTCTGGACATTTCTGTTTTCTTGTTGTTGACAACGATGTCAAAAGATTGTTTGGATTTTCTTTTATGAGGCCTGTTCAAATAATTGTTACGATCCTGGATTTTTCTAAAAACAGAATGAGTGCCATCGCCTATTACAACGCCGTCTTCATCTAAGTCTCGGAATGTATCAGGAAATCTGTCGACAATTTTTTTTGTTACTATCTTTATTGCGGACGAAGGAATGACCAATTTTATTTCTCTCATTTTGTTCACTACCATATGTACGATAAAATTAATGACGTTTTTCTCCCTTTCACCCCTTTCGCATGATTCTATCATCTGCCGTGGCAACTGGTTCCAAGGAATTTCAAACATCTGCCACATAAACTGTGAGTTGCAGTTAGAGTGGTATGTTGAGTTGACATTACTGGTACTATCTATAGGGCTAACCAAGTTATGATTGGTTTGTTCTACATTTTCCAATATATCAATTGGTTGCTCCTCTGGACTGTCAACTATCAAAAGTGTCTCCTCTTTAATTTGTTTTAAGATTACTTCTTCATCTATAGGACTATGACTTCCCACTAAAAAATATTAATTTATTCAGGTAATATAATTTGATACATACAATCAGGTTGAGGATGTCCTTAGAAGAGAACATTTGGAAAAAGAAACAATGCCAGAAAAAGAAATATATTACTGAATTATCACAGGAAATCTGTAATTTGTTTTGTTGTGCTCAGTTCTATAATATCCAGCGAAATATAAGGTGTACTTTGCCTTTTGAAATGTCTATAAAAAATTGTTTCATAATCAGCGAGTTATTGATTTCTATTTTTTCGATTTCAAGTGTCTGTACTCAAGGAAATCTGAATAGTATTTTAATGAATCTCCAATAACATATTTGAAATTTTTGCAGACAACAATGTAAATCTGAATTCTGGATACTTAAATTACTTCTTTGAGTTGAAACGTTTTATTGAAAACACGTTTCCTAATCAAGTTCGAGTCATCAGGAGATGACCATTATTTTTATATGCATCTAGATGCCTGACTGATAGTTTTTACCTGCTCCACCAGTTAGGATTGGACCTTCATTACCTTTCATACATCTAATTCCACATTTTTTTACATCGAAACTTTCCAAAGCATCTGAAAACTTGTTTTCATGAAATGGTCCCATCAATTTCAGGCATTCCTCACTTATTTTGTGGCTTTTCTCTATGGTATATTGAACAACACTGGACTTTTCTGGTATATGAAACCGATTATGTGGAATACGTTCCTTGTAGCGAGGAAATATATTTAGGCATTTCGAAGACAAATTATGCTAAGATTATTAATTTCTTCAGGTGATTCTGCATATATTAGGCTGCGGGCACGAAAATTGTGACGGCCAAGCGATGGCGACTGCGGGGCAGCGCAATGAGGAGAAGTATCTCGCGTGGGCACAAAACGCCACCGCTCGTTTCGTGCCCGTCACCTATACTATCGATGTTGCTGTACGCATCGCCACCGTTTCGCTGTCACGTCGCCTTGCCATCGTTCGGCCATCGCCATTTTCATGCCTGCAGCCTTACAGCTGAAAGCTTTGGGGGTCTTCATTACTCATGATTTCAAATGGGCAAGCACATTGGTGCGACCATAAACAAGTTCAACTCGATCTCTTATAACCTTCTCATCGCAATTAAAAACATTTCTTCTCAATTTCCGTCTCTATCTGTAAGATTCACGTATACTAATTGAAATTTTCCGTGCTGGTAGAATTACCAAACATTGTCAATCTTTCCGAATAAGACAAAGGATAGGCTTAACAAGTTTGAACGAATAGGGAAAGACTACATAGGAATAATAAATATAGTTTGAAAAACTAAAAAACACGCCTTTAAAGAACTGAAAAGTTCAAAATATTTTTTTAAATAAGCTTAGAACAATAACGATCGAAAAATACTAGTATTATGTGAAAAAAGCGTGGGCGCAAGATATACAAAAAATATGGCACAAAGCGTCCACGCTTTTTCACAATGATGCTAGTATTTTTCGATCGTTATTGTTTTAAGCTTATTTAAAAAAAATTTTTTGGGAAAGAAAGTTTTTGGCTTTCTACTACTCCATCTGATACAAAAAAAGGGATGAGAGAATCTTCCAAAGAAAAAAAGGAAGTAATCAATTTGAAACTCTATACATGAATGTGTAGATCTTGCAAAGAAATAACTTTCAGACACAAACTGAAAGAAAGTCCTCCTGAAACAGCTACTTTCATATAAACATTGAATTACACGAAAGAAAATAATTCTTTCGAAACAAATACTTCTATATGAACACTGAATTATACAGAAGATACTTTTCTCTACTCAGTTTGTATTTCAAACATTTGTTGTGGAATAAGAATCAGATATCATTCACATGAGTTCTACTTTGAATAAATTGTACTCACATAGAACACTGTCACCCTCACTGGTATACACCGATGTTTCGCCTTAAGACACTTGCCCTAAGGCTCTTCAGTACCAAATTGGATAACATTATAGAAAATACACACACTTCATTCATGATTTACGATTTTGAATGTCACGGAATAAGCTTGATCTGCTTATGTCATCGATGACATCGTAATGACATTCATTCACCTATTTGATTTAATCTCAGCCAAGAGGAATCTTATTTGAATTGAAGGGGTTATATTTTTAGGAGTGATTAATTTTTTTGGGAAAGTTTTTGGCTTTCTACTACTCCATCTGATACAAAAAAAAAGGGATGAGAGAATCTTCCAAAGAAAGGAAGGAAGTAATCAATTTGAAACTCTATACATGAATGTGTAGATCTTGCAAAGAAGTAACTTTCAGACACAAACTGAAAGAAAGTCCTCCTGAAACAGCTACTTTCATATAAACATTGAATTACACGAAAGAAAATAATTCTTTCGAAACAAATACTTCTATGTGAACACTGAATTATACAGAAGATACTTTTCTCTACTCAGTTTGTATTTCAAACATTTGTTGTGGAATAAGAATCAGATATCCTTCACATGATATAGAAGTATTTGTTTCGAAAGAATTATTTTCTTTCGTGTAATTCAATGTTTATATGAAAGTACCCGCTTCTCTCATTTCTATTCAGTGTGTTGTATCCTCGATTGTACCTGAAATATTGAAAATGAATACTGAAGTCATATTATTGTAATATAACTTCACAAATTGCATGGACATACTTTGAGAATATTTAAGTAATTGAAGTTTTTAGATGTTTTAGATTACGATAACGTTTTCATTGTTGAAACCCATATTCTGGTTTGCTTTCAAATAATCAAATTAGATTTTAAAATGTATCTTTCGTTTCGTTCAAAATTTTTTTCATTATTGAATCAGGGGTAATTGAAAATATTTAAATATCTAAATATTTCATCTGTAGTACAAAAGTTCGCTAACACTTGGATTTTCATTTGAACAACCTATCAAGGAAGTTACGTATAGCGCCATCTGCCCGCGAATTGATCAAGAAATAATAATGTCGATAATTCTGTCAATACAGATCCCGAGCTTGGGAGTTACAAGCAACCAAACATACATACATACAGGTGAAGCTGATATAAAGCGTGTAAATCGATTGTCACACCTCTTCGTTATTAGTGAAATGAACAATTACACGGACATTATGAAGTGAACAGTTTCAAAAGCTGTGCCGGCAACCATTTTCTATAACAGCACACAATTGGAATGTTCTTTCAGAACAGGGGTTCTCAATCTTTTTGCACCGGCGTACCAATTGTCTTATGGCAGAACTTGTTTTGTTGTGCTCAGTTCTATAATATCCAGCGAAATATAAGGGGTACTTTGCTATGCTTACACAGGCCTTTGAGTACTGTTATATTCACAAAAAATCGAAATGCCATATGAAAACCATACTGACAAATCTGAATACCTGAAAATAAAACTGGGTAAAAAAACAAAATCTAAACCCCAAATGGAATATGTTTTGTATTTATCGTTTTCAGACATCAGTCGGACTTATAATATTTATTCAATATAAAAAAACTCATGAAGAAATACTTTGCCGATGCATCACTTACTTTTACAAGTCGATAAAGCACTTCATCGCCGAGTATAAAATTTTATTTTTTCTATTACTGCTACAAAAGTCAGGAGTCGTTTCAGAAAATAATATAAAACATTTAACAAATGAAGAAAGGTAAATAAAATCAATAGTCCAAGTGAAAACTTGCTTTTGGAATATATTCTCGAGTAAGGAAGTTTTAGAGTATGAGTTAAAAACTTTGACAATTAAAGCACTTTAACTATCTTTGCAATTAAAGTGGTACTTTATCCACCCTTCGCGTAAAGTGAAACTATGTCTACTTTTGAACTGTTCATATCCCTTCAACATGTGCTATAGAAAAAAAGACTGAAGTATTTCAATGTAATAACACATCGCAGTGGCGACTGAAGGTTTCCCCATCTTTGAACTTAGCATTGCAAGTGGAGCATTTATATAAAAATTCCTGTAAACATTCGAAATTAACATGGCGAACCACACTCCTTTTGTGTAGATATCTTGCTCCGCATTTTATACAGTGATAGAAACTGTCCTTGAAGATAAACCCTGAAAATATAAGATATCAGTGACAAGTTCAACGCATCTAATGTATGATGTTCTTTAGTATATCATATACTATACGGTCAGAACATTGCAAAGGATATATTTTCTATATGCAATAATATTCCATACAATACCAATACTCTAAAAATGAGATTGAAAATGAGTGAATTTCCTAAAAATACAAGCAAAAGTAATGAATTAAAATATCAATTTCAAATGAAAGAGTCCATACCGATTAAACATAAAGGTGGCACATTGAATTAGAAATAATATAAATCTGCTATCCACATCCACATTCAAATATTCAATATATGGCACTAAAATGATAGGCGAGCCTATCATAAATAAGTTCCACAGTAGATCGACTTTTACTTTCTATCGTCTAACCCGTGCTAGGAAATAACCCCCCATGCCCCCTCCCGGGTTGAGAGCCCTGAGGTAGAAGCTTCCCCCCTAGCTAATTAGCGAGAAGAACCTAATACCCCAATCCATCTACACCCGCTATCCGAGCGGTCCTCAACTTACTGATGGGCACTTCAGCAAGATTGACATCTGACCTCTTTTGGACGAAAGTCAGCATTTAGGTGCTATTCTTTCGCGATCGGTTTAACTAGGAATCACACGTAAAAGACCTTGTTATAGTATAACAATTTTCAATTGAAGGTAACCCATATATAAATTGAACTGAGAGCTAACGGCAACAATGTTAAATGTTAGAATTAAATTCTTACCGGGGTCATTGTCTATGCATCGCCATTGTAGATAATTGAAATGTAAGATGATTCCATGAAATTGGCCCCACGTAACAAGATAGCTTCTGCATATCGATAGGATGTACGAGTGAATAGGTGAACCAGTTCGTTAAATACTTTGGAACATCGTTTATTAAATAGACTGTTATATTTATTAACTTTGAAATATAAGATAGAGTTGGCCGATACTTGTTTTTCAAAATACATTATCATAGATTTTCATCACATTCACACTTTATTGGGAGATAATTAGTTAAGCTAGTCATTAAACTCAGGTATAAATGTTCGTTAAACTCAGATATAACTGTTATTAATTAGTTCCTAGAATATAATTAGTTTCTAGGTAGACAGTAATATTTCAAAAAATATATATAAATTATAATGTATGTAGAATTCAGTTTGTTAGTGAACACGCTTGAAAAAGCTACTGTGCAGCGAAACACTTGTTGCGGATTTGTTAATCTGTTCTAGTGAAAATCTCACAGTAAATTGTCTTTCAAAATACATTAACTTTGAAATAGTTTTTGAGGTAAGTAAACAACTGACGAATAGCTGAATAATATGATTGAATTTTATTACTTTTATAGTATTAAGATGGATGCCGTAGCAGGTTCAAGTAATGTACAAAGAAAGCGAAAGTTTATGTCGTTAGAAGTGAAACAGATTGTCTGTAGAGTGTACAAAAATTTAAAAAATACACTCCGTACAGTGGAAGCTGTAGCCCACTGTTCATTTTTAACGGAAATATCCGTGTCGACAATTGAACGCATTGTACATGAAAAAAAGGTGACTGGGATTGTGCAAGCTCCAAAAGTACATTGTCGTGGTAGAAATAAAGTTGAATTGGACGAGTACCAGAAAAAAATTGTACGCTATACCATTCATTCTTTCTTTTTTGAGAATAAAGCGCCAACCCTCGAATCCATTAGGACAAAGGTAATGGATAATGATCTCATTCAAAAAATGAGCAAAGAGAAGTTAAGGACAACGATCCCGTAAATGTCAAACGATCCCGTTAATGTCAAACGATCCCGTAAATCTGTCTCAATAGAAAGAGAAGGTATAGTCTCATGACGACGGAGATATCTTCGCTCTAATAGAGAAATGCGTTCTGCTCACAAAAAGATTTATTATCTATCTGGACGAAACGTGGGTGAATGCTGGTCACACAGTATCTAAGATCTGGCAAGATACTACTGTAACTAGTTATAGTCAAACATTTGTGGACGGTTTATCAACAGGGTTACGCGGACCAACGGGTAATGGGCAACGACTAATTCTCGCCCCTATAGGTAGCGAGAGTGGCTTTTTAGACGATAGTGCACTAATTTTTTATCCAAAAAAACAGGTGATTATCATGAAGACATGGACGCCCAACGCTTTGAAGGATGATTTTAATCCCTTCATTCACGAGTCGAACTGAATTTGGTAATAGTAATGGATAACGCTTCTTATTACAGCCAATTAGTAGAATAGCTGCCAACTATGACCACTGGAAAAGCAGACATGCAGAGTTGGTTAAGACAACAAGGAATTCCTTTTTCCGAGGACATGGTTAAGGCCCAGCTTATGAGTATCATTAAACAGCATCGTGACAGATATCGCCAGCATGTGGTGGATACAATAGCTCGTGCTGAAGGCATCACCATTTTGAGACTTCTTCCTTACCATTGCGAGTTAAACCCGATAGAATCAATCTGGGCTCAAATTAAGGGTTACGTAGCTCGTGAAAACGTGACATAAAATTTCTGATGTCCAACGTTTATTAGAACTCGCAATGGAACGGATACGGAAAGAAGATTGGGCTAATGCTGTACCATGTGACCAAGGAAGAAGAGAAAATGTGGAGATTGGACGGGATGGTAGACACTGTCAATGGATTCTGAAACTTCATAAGCATAACATAGGTAATTATTTTTTTGCTTTGCAGTTCTATTTCTATATAAAAGGAACATAATAATTTTTCTGTTTTTTTCAAGTACTGTATTAGACATAATAAGAAAATGTAATCAGTCTTGCCGTTGACACTAGGTAGCGCCACCTACTATAACAATTTTTACGTAATTACCTATGTGTTTGAATAAATAAAAATATTATTTTGGTACGCCTCTGCAGAGTTGGTAAGAGGATTATCCATTGGTCACTTCAAGTGTGACGTTGCTAATGGATCACTTTCAATTGAAAATTGTTATAGTATAGTTCTTACCTCCCACAAGTTTCGACTTTTGAGAGTTGTCGTTTGTAGGAGTGTTACAGCTGGTTAACGGAAAAACAGATTTCAAATAGAACAGATTTTAAACATTAATAACGTTTTGAAATTCACTCAAAATTAGTACCTTCTCTTTTCATGAGAAATGTTTTGAAAAATCAAATTGTTCATCATGCTGTATTTCTCTCTCAAAAAAAAACATTTTGAATTTGTTAGCATTTGTGAGTCTTTGGGTCTCAAGACTTATTCATCTCTCATTACACCCTCAAAGAAAAATCTTGTGGAAATTGAACCTCAATGAAATCAAAATTCTGAAATTGTTTCTAGATGAATACAATTTATTTATTTATTTGCAATTTAGGATACAAACAGGTGAAACACGATAAAATATTCATTAATAAATTTTACGTCCCAACAATTAGTAATGATGGAGAACAAATAACTACTATGATAAAACTAAAATTCAGTGAAAATAATTTTGAAAGTTTTTATGAAAGCAAATAAAAGCATGGGTAAGACAAGGAGAATTCATTTTTACTTCATTGAGTTTGAAGTGAAAGGTATTGAACATAACAATTTTATCATTACTGCGACGATCAACAGAAAAATAAGTTTGATGATATCTTTCATAAACACCACAAAAAGCTCACTTATATCATTTGCCATTTTCAACGATGATATTATATTTTATATGTTAGAAATATTGATATCATTTTTTCAGTTGCTCTTATAACTCCAATACTTTTTTGTGGTTGTTATTATCTCAGTTTGGATAATAATAATAATAATAATAATAATAGCCCTAAGAGTGCTATATTACCATCTACGACACTCTTACGGTATTGATGAGACACCGGTGTTGCCCTACGCTCCGGGGGATATTGAATCCGTTGTGGGGAACGAGAAGTGCCGAATTTATTGGAACTATTCGTTCCCCACCCTCAGGCTCATACAAGCTAATAAGCCTGATGTAGTCCTTCTCGACCACCAGACCAAAACGATATTTGTCGTGGAGTTTTCAGCTCCTGGCGAGACGAATATCGTCAGAAAAGAGGAGGAAAAACGGATAAAATATCGAGATTTTCTCTTCGAACTCCGCAGACTCTATCC